GGTGCCTCCCCAGGGCTGAGCAGAGGGGCAGGATCCCTCCCTGGCCCTGCTGGCAACGCTCCTGCTGCAGCCAGGAGCCCATGGGCCTTCTTGCCATGAGGGCACATTGGGACCTCATGGGGAACTTGTTGTCAACCAGGACTCCCAAATCCCTCTCCATGGAGCTGCTTTCCAGCAGGTCAACCCCTAGTCTGTGCTGGTGCCTGGGGTTATTCCTCCCCAGATATTCTGAGGGTATTTTCTGTAAATAACCCCATAATTGGCCTTCAATAAAAAGCCAAGATAGGGAAGAGTTAGATGATTCGGCATTTACAGCAGAATCAGACCAAGACTGGAAGCATCTTACCTGTCTTGTTTTAGCAGATGTCTCGATGAAGGGGATTCCATAGCTTTTTGCTAATTCTTGAGCCTGTTTTGTGTCTACTGTTCTTGTGGGTAAATCACATTTATTTCCCACTAGCACCATTGGCACATCATCTGAATCTTTCACTCTCTTTATCTGTTCTCTTTAAAAAGAAAAAGAAAACAAAAAAGTTACGAACTAATTTTACGTGTAAAAGGTGGCTTAATTAACTATCTAGAAAACTCTATTCTATGGAAGTTTGTACCAGGGATGGACAGGACCTTGGAGGTTCTAACATCCAACAGTACTTTCAAGAGCTAGCATACATATTCCATGAAGTTCATGAATAAGCCCACTTTGATCTGCTTTCTCTTTCTTACCCACTTTGTCTCCTTTTCCATATGCTCTGAAGTAAAAAAGCATTTAATTAACACAGCAACCTGGAAAACTGTTCCATTCTCCACTGACTAATTATGCATAGATTCAGAACGCTAAAAGCTCTGAAAACTTTTCCAAAAAGTGGGAGATTTAACAATTTTTCTAGCATTTATTCTTCACTAGGTTTCAAGGCTAAATACTTGATACCTCTTCAGACACTTTTCCTAGTGGTAAAGAACTAGCTCATACCTGTAGAGGTTAATATCAGCAAATGATTTACTGTTGTTAATGGCAAAGACACAGAGGAAACCTTCCCCCGTCCTCATGTACTGGTCCCGCATGGCGCTGTACTCCTCCTGCCCAGCAGTGTCCAGGATGTCTAACAAACACGTTTCTCCATCAATAACAACCTGCTTTCTATATGAATCCTGCAGAAAATATAGATGAGAGTTTTAAATTAGAAAAGGTTGGCACTACTTATTTCAATATCAGGCAGCGTTAAAAAAAATAAGACGCTAATTCAGATTTTTTTTTTCTGCTTTCCTCTCTAATGAAAACTGAATAACTAAAGGCACTTAAGATTTTAACCTAACAAATGCACCCGCTTTTTTTTGCAAAAAGTTATTTTTTAGAAGAAATACCTTATAAATTATTGCACCTATCACTTAAGATATCTCAGTACAACATTGTGACCAGAAACTAAAGTCTAGGTAATCCAGTGGCAAAGTAACCTTTCCTTTTTGGTTGCTGCTCTTGGCTGCCTACACTCTGCTTTGGAAACCAAAGCAGACGCTGAGGAAATTCGAATTTTCTGTAATTCCTGCTCCGGCACCCGCTGGTCTCACAATGCCACATAGCGACTCGTAAGCGCCAGGCCGGCCGCAGCACCCACCTCCTCCCTGCTCGAGCGCTCACCGTGTGTAAGAACGGAGGCAAACGCAGCTTCTGCGACACCTGCATCTCCCACAAGGGTTTTTAAACACCCTCCCTGAAAACAACCAGCTGCTTTAAAGCTATCTTGCTAACACCTAAGCTAAGCGATTATACGCGCACCGCAAGGGCGAAGAAAAGCAAAGCTGAATCATTGTTTAAA